AACGCCCCCACGGCTGAAAGGGCAAGCATGTTTGGTGTGAGAGGGATTCGAACCCGCGACCCTCAGATTGCGAGTCGAGTGCCTCATCCACCTGGCCATGCCGGGCCTATTGTAAGAAATATGAAGCGTTTTTAAAGGTGATTTTCCACGAGACTTTTTTAATAACACTTGTGTTCACTCTCTAATATATGATTTTTTTTTTCAATTTCCTGAAATATGATATCAGGAGAAATGATAAATAAAATAAGAATATTTATAAATACAAAATTGAATTCGATTCTTAACTCATTAAAAACAATTATTAAACATTTAGAATTGGCCATAATTTCGCGAAGGCTATCTGCACTAGCCGTCCCTATTTTAGATAGTCTTCACCACCTTCCGCCAACTCTTAGGTTGATTGTTACTGTATAACGCCCGCCGCGGCTGGAAGAGCGAACATGTTCGGTGACGTGGGATTCGAATCCGCGACCCGCAGGTTGCGAATAGAGAACCCTAACCTCCAGGCCAATTGTATAGTGTTCTTATATGTTTTATTTTATTCTTATCGGTAATATTTAGCATAAACGCTGTCAACATACTGTGTTTTCCTTATTATATGTGAGCTGATTTTCAGTCAAAACGTTTTTTTTTTTTGTGTCGATGCGTTTCGCTTTAACTTATTTAGTGTTCATTGAACTCTACATGAAATGGTACCAATGTCGCAAGATCAAAGCACAATGTGCTTCCGCAAGTGTTAGAAAGAGGGCGGATATGAAACTAGCACTAGTCGGTAATGATGTAGGGCGCTTGGCCATTTGCCAGTAACTGAAGCGTAATTCTGATGTAATCGTAATGTTTTTATAGCCTTCATTCACAGGAACATAAACAAATCTAGGCGATTACAGGTCTGTTATAATACACAAAACATAGTTTATATACAAAATTGGAACGATAATGCTAATGATTATTTTGTGTATTCAGACGCATACTCAAACGCAGAAACTTTATAAATATAATACAAATATTATTTGTCGGAAATAAGCACCGATTAACTACAAATACATTCTTCTAATCCTTGGACTGTTTGAATAAGAATATTTCATAGAATTTAACACAACATATTGAAAATATGCATACAGTTAAAGTCTTAAAGTATACAGAACGTAATTTATGATGGTCGTCAATGCATTAATGATTTTCTTATTTGTCTGTTTTCAAGCACATACCTACACAATTGACTATTTGTGTTGTGGCCACCGATTTTAGAGGTATAAGCCCATACTGCTGAGCCACTGTTGATCAACCGATCGACACTATCAGCTGGGGCTAAAGTTCGAAATATGCCTACAGGACGTCTATATCACGTGTATTAGTGGAATAATTGGTCTAAAGCAAAATGATTTATTAATTATCATTCTTAATAAAAAGGTTTATGTTCTACTAAAACAAAAACATAAACAAACCTCATTCACTCCTAACAACACATAACGATGTATCAAACGCCATAGTCGAAATTGTCATTAGTTGTTTTGCATGCCGAGATTAATAGGTGTGGTACCATTTTTAAGTATCACTTACATATCCATTGCAGTTTAAATTTGGCGACAACAATAATAATAGAATTTCGAACAATTAATTTTTCAGGAGCAATCTGTTTCATAGTTTTTAAACAATTATTTAGTTTGTTTATAAAACTTCAAATATATAAAAATTCGACCAAACCAAAAACATATATAAAGTTCACTCACTTAAATTATGAAATAAAACATCACTTTACGTTTCACTTTATGGCTTAGCATAATGTGCAAATTACTGTTGTTGTTCACATATCATCGTAATCATTATGTGCAAATCTAAAAATCTGAGATTTTAAATACATCTTTTTGACCAAATTTATATGTAGCGGTTTCAATTATCTAGTGAATTTGGCAATGTATAACAACGAATTTTTGATTTAACCAGATCGCCTATGGTATTCCACTTCCTGGTAACACACATTCGATATTTCCTCAACTCTTTTACAAATCTTAAAGAATATGCACTGTCGTGTGAGAAATCCAACGGTGTTTGTCACCCCAAAAACGAACAATAGCTAAGGAGATACAATGGCTTGCCTAATTCTGCTAAACTTTCCTGAAGTCATCCTGAGATGTTATTGTAATACAATATCTACTAAGTTTCTCGAAGCTTGTAATAACTGGGAACTTTCTGTAAAAGTTGCACACACTTCGGAGGGCAGATGTCAGAAAAATCACATCCAAAGTTTACTTACAGTGATAGATTAGTGGGAAGGCAGGTAGTCAACACCACCTACCGTCAACTCTTGGACTAATCCTGGATTGATCATCACATTTTAACGCATCAGATGACGGGAAATCATTGCAGAGAAAGTAAGCTGTAAAAAGAGGCCATAGAGGAACTTTTTTTGGTGCTAATAAAATGTCAAACAGCCAAAGTGAAGCAAATTTACATACAGACCAGGTATGTTCACAGAATCATAGGAAGTCGTAGACAAAAATGTGAGAGAATTTGGGAAGATAGAAATCCATTAAGACCACTATATCCATAAAATAAAATCAAAACGTGAAAGACTTCTCAGATCAAACCCTACAGATCTCTATACTTTATTCCATCTTTTCATGTGGACTCTACTTTGTTACCTAAAAATTACGCTACTGGTTTAACTCAGTTATTCGTTGTTAAACATTAAACATATAACGTCCATAAATGTTGGAGTTGTGCAGTTACCTTAATCAGATTAATAATCGTCATATTTAAAGTGTGAGGTTATTTTGACTGACCATACCTGTTTACTTTAACTGTATTTTAATCACTTGGTATATTATTTGATGGGGGAATTCTTAATAGTTTCTTAGCTGCTTATATTTAATTCTTTTTGTATATTTTCTTTCCAGTTGACAAACAAACAGATGTTGTCTTCATATGCTAAATGCCTTTTGGTCCTCACAACCAGTGGATTTGTGATTCACTTGATTTTTGGTTTGAGCGACTTTTCAAAAGCATCAGAAGATAAGTCCAACTTCATTCATTTTCCAAGCGATTTCAGTTCAAGCAACAAAAGGCACAGCTATCCGTTATCAAACATGAAAATGCATGACCTATCCGAACAATATCGAGACTTTAAAAAGTATCATTCCCGTCTGGTCGCTAGGAGAGATCTTTTAGGTTTGTTATTAAGATAAGAGAAACAATATATTGTTATTTGAAAAGCTTTAGATAAATCTGTCTATGGAAAGAAATTTTCACTGAATATATTATTTTCGTATTATTACTTTTCAGGAGTCCAAATAATTAGTGGGCCTACAGGCTATCGTGACTACAATGGAGAGATAACAGCAATGAAGTTGAAGTGTCGGACGTGTTCCTTAGTTGGAACATCAGGTACGCGCTCTAATTCTCAAAAGCAAAACCCTATTCTGTAGCATTGACATAAATTATGAAAAATTAATAAGTTTCTGAAGATTAAATTTAAGAATTGAATTGAAGTAATCTTTTTAATTATGTTTAAATATAAAGAGTCTGGGTATGAGCTACCATGTCGTTTTGCCTTTACCGAATATATGTGTTTGTGGATACTGCTGATTTCCAATTACAACGGTAATTGTAGCCGAAGATCAATTGGATACTTATATTCTTGTGGGATGTTTCTTAAGTTCAAACAACAGAACTGCAACGTACAGAAATGAAACATTAAAAGAGTTCAGTGAAAAAATATTTGCTACTACCCATATCTGATACATTAGTTTTTTTAGAGCTATGTATTAAGGCATTCATATTGTTGACAATAACTCCTGACAACTTCTAACAAAGTCTCAAACGCCATAGTTTTGTAAAGTTATTGTTAGTTCTTTTTCGTTTTTACTTATCACTTACATATACATTGCACTCGAATAACAACTCAACAATGATAATAATAAGACTTTGAAAAATTAATTTTCATCAAGCAATTTGTTTTATAATGTTTAAATAGTCAATTATTTAGTTTTAGATAAAGTTTTACATTTTAAGATAATAAAGTTTTATCAATATGATTTAAAAGCTTTAAATGTAGTTGTACTCTTAGAAACCTAATCAAAAAATTTAGGCTATAATATAAAAGTAACAGCTTTTCAGAAGTTCGGGTCGTTCTAATTAACGTTTATTGAGATTATTGTCAATGAAGTTATTAATCAAAATTAAAGACCGAATATATATATTACTCTGCTGTCCATATTTCTTAGAGGATCTACAAGAAATATTTTGATTTATCATACAATTCAAACTCGTAACATTCAACTTGACATATTTGATTATTGACCTTAATGATATGTTAAATTGTTACTTATCTCCTCTTGCTTTGTTGTTACATATGCATTAATTCAGATCTGTGTATTATGATAGGCATTAGAAAGCAATACCTTAAATATCGCTTTAGTGCTTTTTGTACTTACTATGTTTTTCTTAAAACTAATACGCAAGTTCAAATTGTTATCGCTTCCCATATTGTGATTCACTCTTTGGTCACACGTTAAGTACGAGTACAAAGTGTCAAGCCTAAGTTCAGTTAGCCCAGTAGTTTGCTCTGTTTTGTTTCAAACCTTTTGATGTTACAGAACAAAGAATAATAAGGCGTTCAACGATTCTCCAAATTTTTCTTCTTCGTGTTTTATGTTAATTTGTATGTTTACAGGTCTACTTCTAGGATCGAAAAAAGGTGTTACAATAGACCAATCAGACTGTGTGTTTCGGCTGGGTTTGTCTTCGGTAAGGCAACTAGAAGATGATGTAGGGAAGAAAACAACCGCCAGAGTTCTAGATAATGAAAGGTAACTTCCACACACAATATAATCTCTTACAAAAATTAAATCAAATACAACGCCACCTGACGAATAAATGTTACTTACAGTTACTAACAATACCTTCATTATACAGAAGGACGTTCGTTTGAAATCTTGACTTGTATACAGTTGTATATTTTGAAATTCTCGAATGATTCCTACTTTTAGATAGATAAGCATCAACTTGTTTTCTACGTAACTTTTCTGTTGTTATTTCATTTTTGTAGCTTAGGGCTTCTACTGAAGACATTCCAGAAAATGCTTACTGGTACACTGACGAGCCAGAATGTTTTCGTGCACGACACACGAGGTGCTGGGAGTGAGTTGTATACTATGCGGATGAGATTGAAACATCTTTCTAGATACGACAAGAACGTCACATTCTATTTTCTGGACAGGCATAGTGAGCACAGAGCTTTAATGGCCATGAGAGTAGCAGCAGCAGTTGTAGGGTGAGTTGTTGTAATACTTGCCTTTAATAGTACAGTGGATGGGCCTGGCACTGTCTGGTGGCTCGGGCGCTCGAATCGCAACCTACAGGTCGCGAGTTTGAATGCCGGCCCTGGGCATGCTCGTCCTTTCAGCCGTGGGGACGGTATAATATGACGATCAATCCCACTTTCCGTTGGTAAAAGAATAGCCCAAGAGTTGGCGGCGTGTGGTGTTTACTAGCTGACTTTCCTCTAGTTTATCACTTCTAAACTAGGGACGGCTAGCTTAGATAGCCCTTGAGCAATCTTGCACAAAATTTCAAAAACAAATAAACAAGAGGATGATATATTATGTCTTGTTCTATTGACAACTAAATGCTGAACAATATGCCCACATATTATCTTAGAGGTTCTAACTAAAAATGTATAAATTCTCTTCTCCGGGTTTTCCTTTAGAACTCAAAAGATAAAATAATAGAATTTTTATGGCTTCAGATTTATGTTATATTAAATAATCAATTATAAAAAAATTCTTAAGCTAGAAGTGCAACTTTATTTTTATACAACTTAAATCCAGTCTCCTATATGTAAAACTAGTCGAGTGACAATATTATAATTACACGTAAAGAGAAATGCTAAGTCTACTTCTCAAGTAATATCTAAAGGAATTTTAAATGACGGTCAAATAACTAAAAGTGATTTAAACTCTTTTTACAGAATAAACAAATGTCAACACTGAAAGCAAAGAGAATGATACTTTCTTGTAATCTTAGAATAGACATTCATGTATAATGATTGATTGGCCCCTTTATTAAACGTCAGTTAACATCGAATTGAACCATCTTTTGCCGTGATAATAACTTGAACTCGGAATGTCATATACTCCATAATATAGTAAATGGGGTCTTGCTCCATTTTTCTTAACCCTGCCATAAGTATGGTCTGTAACTGATTCACAAATGTCAACGTTCAAGTTCTTGTCAAAGATGCTCAATTATATTGAGACCAGGAGGTTGTGCATTTAAAAGCATATCATTGAAGTCATGCTTTTTGAGGAAACTTCAAAGAATTCGAGTCCTATGGATTGTACTATCATAGTTTATTAGAGTGGAAATCCAGCAGTGCAGAGTTAGCATAACTGGGTATTCTATGGTCCTCATTAGCCCTTCTAAAGGAATCAAAACCCCAAGTCGGGCCACGAGAACATTTCCCACACCATTATACTACTTCCAGAATTTTGCACTTTAGAAACATCATAAGGTGGGCAAATGTCTTATGTGGTTTATTAATCTATATTTATGTAAGTAAGAAAAATGTGAAAATCAAACCACCAGATCACAACACATGCTTTCAATCTTTCTTTGACCATGGTTTACGCTGTAAGCGCTATTGAAGTCGCGATTTCTTTTTTAGATCTGATAAGTAGTTTTCAAAAATGCTGTCAGCTGTCATGTGAGAATTTTTGCAGCGTACATTACATGGTACGATTGAAAATATCCGAATGTTGGCTACTGTTGACGGAGTCAATTAGTGGAACATTATTTGATATATGGTGTACTTTTAAAATCTAGCCGCCTTTTCTCTCAATCTGTCTCCGGCATCTTTCTCAATCCTCTCTAGTTGCAGACATAATACCTTTCAATTGTCACTGTGAATAGACTTTCATGATATATTCCTTTGAATGCCCACCATAAAAAAAAAGAGTCTATATTTAAGACAGTATTGCTCGACGAACACCCATTATCATGCATGGATCGAGGGATTCTTTTTTTGCCATTGATCTGGTTGACTAACCATGTTATGATCCCTTCGCCATATTTATAGGGCATAAGTAATCATATAATAAGTTTATTATGAATAAACAAATAAATCGAGTGTTTGACAAATGCGATTGAATGTTTTAATAAAGTGACATATCCGTGAGTCCTTTAGAATATAGCAGTAAATACCAAAACATTACATGAGATTTCGTTGTTGAAAATGAAAAAAAAAAAACGTTTTGTTTATGAATATGAGCTCAGTACCGGCTAGCACAGCAAAGCTTATCATTACGATTGCTTTATCAACTTCATATCATTGTTTACTTTTGATAACAATTAACTAATCTTTAACTAAGCTACTTATTTGTGGATAATTATTACCAAGCTTTTAGAAGATAAACATTTGTCTTCAAGTTGATAAAAGTGCTGTAAACATGAAAATACGTGTTTTAAAAAGATACTTACTGAATCTCATTTTTACAATTCTTGAAACTTCCATAATATTAACATTCCATTTTAATACCAGAATATTTTTATTTAACTTTTAACCCAGGTCATTAATAGGTCACATTTTCTGTAGCTATAAGATGTTAGGTGTTAAACCCTCGACTCTTTGGTATGCTGTTTACATCATGACTGATGCTGGATGCTCAAGTGTTAAGATTATTGGTTTGCCGGATCCAAAATATTGCAAGTACGTTACTTTTCCACTATTCTGTTTCTTCTTTTATATTATTGAAACATTGTTTTTTAAATGTATACATGTTATTATATTTTAAACATAGCAAGAAATGTTTGGCACTTTTTTTTTATAATCCACATATCTGATCAATCTGCACTGAGTGGTTACAAGTAAATAGACACCTAATTTTTCGTCATTTAACTGATATATGCTACCTAATTTGTGTTCACAGAGCACAATATAAATGAAAATGGTCCGCACACTAATTATCTTGTGTTACAACATGCCTAGAACTCAAGGTTCTCTCGAATTGTCAGATTTTGATAGAGGAAGGATAGTTGGTCAAGCAGATGGTGGAATAAGTCAGTGGCAAATTTCGCAGAATTTGGGAATCCCGCTTTCGACAGTCAACAGAATCATCGTGCAGTTCAGGAAACACGGCAAGAAAACAACTGAGCAGCGTCCGGGTCGTCCTGGTCCATCGCAGAAGACAAAAAGGGCTGTCAAGAGGAGCATCGAAATGGATCCCAGATTAACGACTGCAGAAGTGGCCAAAGTTGGTGGGATGACCCCGAACTCTGTTCAACGGATTCTCCACAGATTGGGTTATCGTTGCAGAGCTGCTAGACGGAAGCCCTTATTAAGACCTGCCAACGTAGTCAGACGAAAGAAGTGGGCA